ATATTTCATGCCCCCTTTTTTCTCCACCCCCTTTGACCCCCCCTCTCTCTCTCATTGGTTACATTTTTTTTTCTTTTTTTCTTTTTTTCCTGCTCCTCCAATCACCACCCGCCACGTGTTTGTGGGGGTGGTGATTAGAGGGGGTCTCTATCATGACTCATTTAGTTATAACTTATGTGATTAATTATGACTTGATTATATATATTATAATATTAATTATGACTTTTTGTGATGTTAGTTATGATATTATTTATAATTTAAAATATCTTTAATTATATGTTTTATAGTGGTTGATTACGATTTAATTTTTTTTTATTATAACTATAAAAAGATTCAGTTATGATATTTGTAATAATTAATTCTACAAATATCAAAACTTGCCTATGATAGGCACCCTAACATAATTCCTAAATTTATACTACATAACAACTCATTTCTTTTAAATTAAACCCTGTTGATTATGAAACTACAACGTTAATCATTCAAGTCCCCTTCCAACAAAAAAAAAAAAAAAAACCTTTATATATTAAATTACATACACTTTATTAGAATATTAATGGTCAAGTTTTGTCACAATTAAGACTCTACATTTTTATGTTATAAAAATAAAACTAAAAAACAAAAAACAAAAAATAAAACTACATTTTTATGCTACGGCCTTGTAAGTTCAAAAAAAAAAAAAAAATCCATTTACTTTTATAGATGAAGAGAAAAATAATTGTTATACATCATTAAAATATTTTAGTAAAATTTTTAATCTATTATGTGACTCAATGTGGCATGTTGAGGTAAGTTTATTATCTTATTAATTTTTTAATATACTAATTAAGTCCTTTATATGTATATTAATATTTGTCATGTGCAGTGGTAGTAGCAAAATTATTGTTTTAGGGAACCAGTACTCGTAAGAATCAAGATTAGGTTGTGTGGGAGAAGAAAGAGCAGGATAGTTGTGATGGTGTATATTGATGTTTCACACAGAAATGATGTATTATTATTAGAAAATGATATATAAATTTATTTTTTAGATTCATTTTCTATAGTGAAAATGATCACATAAAGTGTAGATGGTCATTTTCCATTATAAAAAAAAAAAAAAAAATTCTAATAATACTAGATATAATTGACATAAAGTGAAATCAAGTGTCAAAAACATTAATTACAATTGAAATCACAATGACTAAATTAAAACTAATGAGAAAATTTAGGAAGTTTCTAGATTTTTTTTCTGTTCAAAAAAAATCTAACCTGGTTACTTCTGTTCAAATATATATATATCTAACCGGGTTGCCCATTTAAATTGAAGTTTACAAATCAAACTAAATTATTAAATGAAAATATTATACATTATAATTTTTTTAAACTAACTAATGTGTTAAGCAATACCAAAAAAAAATTAGAATTTAAAACAACACCCATGTAGGTGGTGCAACATCAATAAACAAGAAAATTTTATAATATTTTTTAAATTTATGGAGCATTGCTTTTTTAAAAATTATATTAATTTAAAATAAATTGTGGAGGCCATGCTCTAGGGTGAAAAGCCTACAGTCATCTCCTAGAGTGAACAATCCAACGGTTGACATTAAACCTCACCAAAACGACGTCGTTTTGGTGAGTACTTTGAAGAAAAAAAAATCAATCCATGGCTCTCCTCTCCTTTTCTCTCTCTACCTTTTCTTTTCCATTTTCTTGCTCAAGAAAACCATTCAAAATCAAGAAATCTCACAAATCCATCTCTGAAAATCAATCCATGGCTCAAAGTTTCTCAGATTTTAGTATCAAGACCTCGGCTAGTGGTCCACCAGGTGTGGAACCCTTCCAAGAAACAGAGCTCAACCAGCTTGAAACTTGGGCTTCATGGTGATCTGAATCTCTAATGCCTAAACCCATTTGGATCTGACCACCCATTTCGCCGGTGAGGGTGTCGCTGCCGCCCGCCGCCGCCGTGGCCATCGACAGAGTGAGAGAAGAAGGCGAGAGGTTCCCATGTGAAGAAACAGAGGACTCGTTGTTGTTGTTGTTAGTACTGTTGGGATCTTCATTTGACCAAGCATCAATGAAACCCCTAGGAGTCTCCAGATCAGGGTTGAGAAACAAATTGCACTCATCGGCATAGGGAATCAGATTCAGAGACTCGTCGATGCAATCTTGATTGAAAATCATCTGGGGAAAAGATAAGACAGAGCATTCAAAGTTTCTTTGAAAATCACAGCAATGACTACCCAAAGACGATGATCCACCATGAATGAACAATGAGCTCTGAGAATCAATCCATGGCTCAACCCAGAAAGGTTTAGTACCCACACGACTCAACCTGGTTTTGTTGATACTAAAATTCGATTTTAGTACCCCGGAAAGATTTCATGGCTCAACCTTTCTGGGTTTGTTGATTTTAGTAACCATGGATTGACTCAACCTTTATGGGTTTTGTTTCAATCCATCGTTTGATTTGTGAGATTTCTTGAGTTTGAGCCATGGATTGATTTTCAGATATGAGTTTGTGAGATTTCTTCTATTACTTGAGCCATGGATTGATTTTCAAAATGGGTTGATTTTCAAAAAGGTAGAGAGAGAAAAGGAGAGGAGAGCCATGAATTGATTTTTTTTTCTTCAAAGTACTCACCAAAACAACATCGTTTTGATGAAGTTTAATGTCAGCTGTTGGATTGTTCACTCTAGGAGATGACCGTAGGCTTTTCACCCTAGAGGATCCGGACGTTTGTTTCATGGCTTATCAGAATTGAAACTTGGAATTTGGGGCCCACACTCACTTACACTTCAATAGACCAAAGAGCAAAATTATAAGGTTAATACTATTACCTCATTTGGTTCTAGAATTTTGAACCTACTTAAAAAATTAAGTTTTTATTTTTTATATTTTTATTGAATTTTTTAAATATTTTAAATTAATTTTTTAATTTTTAGATACACCTAACATAAATAAGTATAATATTTTTGAAAAAAAATCTATTAAAAATTTACTATATACCAAAACTATAAAAATTTAGTACATTTTCATATTCTTGTGTATATATTAATTTTTTTACAAATATTTTACTTTTTAAATATATGTAAGTTAGGTGCATATAAAAAGTAAAAAAATTACTTAAAATATTAAAAAAAAAGATATAAAAAGCAAAAAAATTCAATTTTCACAGAATTGGATTCAAAATTTTGGAACCAAACAAAATTATTTACACAAAATATATATAGAAACACCATAAGAATAAATTTTGTGAATAAAAGTCATCTTCATAATTATAATTATTTTATTTTAAAAAGAAGAATTTATATTGACTCATATTATTCTGTATAATTTTTTTATTTGTATAGCAATATTTAAATTTTAAAATTTTCAAAATTTTTCATATCTTTGCAGGGATCATGGCCCCCTAGGCACTAGAGGTGGTCGTGGTTCGGTTTTGGACGGTTTGCGAATTAGTTTAGACCCATTCACATGTATGCAGTTTGAAAAAAATTCAACCGGTAATCGCCCGCAATGCAATTTGTGCAGATAGGGTTCGCGGATGTGCTGGCGGTTTGCAGATTGAACTTTTTTTCTATAAAAATTTATTTTGGAGTCCTCTTTTCTTTCATTTTGTAAATATTTATTTTGGGCCTTTTTTCCCATTTTTTAAAATGCTCCAACATTAATAATTAATGAATTTAAACTTATAAAATTAAAAATATAACAAAATTAATTCATAACACAAACAAATCATTCAAAATCTTAAACTTTTAAATCAAATCATAAATTAACACAAACACATCTTTCAAAATCCTAAACTAGATCATCAATCTCATTCACTATTTATTACCCAACAACACAATTAAAGTAAAATCATTCAAAATCCTAAGCTTACTTAAAAGTAATTCTTCATTAACTTTTACATTCATAAAAAGTACAATAATAAAATAAAAATAAATCAAAGTGTGGACGGATTCTTACGGTTGCGGATGCCCGCAGCGCACAATCATGTCATATTCTAAACAACATTCACCCATATTATGTCTGCAAAATCGCCCATATTATACGATTCAAATAAGCCCCACTAGCCACCACTTGTGCCCGTGAATGATTGTGTGAGAAAGAGGTGAGAAAAAATATAGCCTCCACTTTTTGATAAATATTATTTTTCCCCTTCCAACCATCTTATAATTTTCCCAAGAATAAAATGGAAGGTAGGGCCAATTGTGACCAAAAAGAAAAAGTGGAGGAACAGAAAGGTTAGAGTGGACATGGTGATTGTTAGGCTTTGACCCGACAACATGTGTGCCTTTTCGGTGCAGAACTGAAGAGACTCTCCTGAGCCAATGGAGCTTCAATTCTAATTGTCTATCAGAAGTATGGACTTTTACTAGTCATGCTTGTTGGCCAACCAGAGTGGATTCAAATCCTCTCTACCAATTGTCGTAATAAATTTTCTCAATTTAAAATAAAAACAAATTTGTAGGATTATTTTACAATCATAATAATGTAATTGAGATTCTCTCAATGGAAAGCGGCAGTACCAATTATCAATTCTTGCCTCTCAAGACTCACAATAAAAATTAGATTGAATATTGAATATTGAATATTGAATATTGAATAATTATCCTAATTTCATAATAAGCTATCCCTAAAAATCATTTTGCACAATAAAATTCGTACACATGCATCAAAACCCCATCCCGTGACACTGGCCAAGAATCTTCTTTCTCTAAATTTCATTGCCTCAATGCATTATGTGAAAATCTTGATATACAGATATCTTAAGATATAATCTTACGACTGACGATACAGTAAAGCAGATAGGACTCTCAATTAAAAAACTCACACTTCAAAGTTTTTTTTCTTTGATATACATTACTACAAAGTAAATGATTACCCATTGAATACACTTACCTTGAACCAAAATTGTGATAAGAAGTCTGAACTCTTTATCCTCCTACTTGAATGGAAATGAAATGAAGTTCTTGGTCTAAATATAAATAATAAATAAAAAGAAAAGAGAAACGAAACACAACCCGCAAAAACATTTGTAGTTGAAAGCAGAAACCAAAATGAAAAGCACCATGCATTACAACACCACATAGAATGTCATTTGTTTGTCACTGGTACTCACAGAAAGCCATATAAACATGTCTTCCTGTATTTTTCTGCAGACAATGTACATACACAAACTGGAAACATGATAAACAGTTAGAACAATACCCGAACACCAAGCAACGCCATTAGCTGAGAAATGAACTCAGGGTGACCTGGCCATGCTGCTCCAGTTACCAGATTCCCATCAGTAAAGCAGCGACTTATTGGATCAGGTTCTAACCATGTTGCCCCACCTAAGACCACGTTGAGTTTCACTGCAGGGTATGCAGTACATTTCTTGCCCTGCAAAAGAGTCCATCACTAAATCAGAACACAGTAATAGCACACCGACAAACTTCCATTTTCTCGACAAAAGAAAAAAACACACACACACACAGCAACTAATGTGCGGACCATAACTAACATTCACTGGCAAAGCATTGATACTTTATGACGCTGTTGGCATAGCATTTACAGTTTTTCTGATGTAAGATTGAGGAAAAGTTTGGGTGCCAATATTATATTCTGGACTAAATATCTATCATTTTCATGTTACTTAAAGGAAGAGATTCACAATCGAGCTTGAGAACAAAAGCATGTCCTCATCAGCACAGAGGAAGATGGCGTGAATATTGAATTGTCAAAAAAAACCCAAGGTAAGCTCAAATTGCAAAGTTTTGATGCAAAACATCATGACTAAATTATAGAACACTATCTACAAACTGCCCTTGAACACCATCTCCTGTTACCGCATATCTCAAAGACGGCCAACTAGCCATTGTATAAACTTAAATTTGGGTAAACCACTAAAATCTCTCCCCCCCCCCTTCCCTCCACTCCTTCACTCAAACCTATACCGACACCAAATTGAGTTTTACTCAAATTTTGACTCGAATCAAGAGAGACCCATTTCCTTCACTCAAATTTCTATCCAATCAAAACTTGACAGGTGCTTTTACCCAAATTTGCCAAATTCTCCTGTACTCCCAACTCCTAGCATCCGCTCCAAACTTGACTCTTGGCAATTTTGCTCTATTTTTATTTTTTATTTTTTAGAAGGGGAATTTTACTCAAATTTTAGTTTATCCATTGGAGTGCTTCATATCAAATGAAACTTTTCATTTAAACTTCTACTCTAATTTCTACTCAATTAGAGTACAAGTATAAGCAAGGGTTGGATGATAATCAATTTAAAAAAACTAATCAAGAAATTTAAAAAAATCACAAAAGCAATAATTGAAAGTGTAATTACTATGGATGATAAGTTCACCACAAAATACAATTTTCTTGCTATAAATGTTGGATCGATGAAATATGCTAAACAAAATTTCATATTAAAGCAACAAAAATGTTAATAATCTACCTTGAGAGCACCAGCAGCAGACAAAATCTGCTGTCCATGGCAGATTGATGCTACTGGCTTTCCAACCTCCATGAATTCCTTCACCAATTTAATAACTGACTCATCCAATGCTAGGTATTCTGGAGCTCTGCCTCCCGGGATCACAAGAGCATCATAGCTTGAAGCATTTAAACCTTCAAAACTAGCTGTTAGCGTAAAGTTATGACCTGGTTTTTCACTGTAAGTTTGGTCACCTTCAAAATCATGGACTGCTGTTGGGCATTTATCACCCGCTGCCTTCTTGGGGCAAACAGCATCAACATGGCATCCAAGCGCTTGAAGGGACTGAAAAGGAACCATTACCTCATAGTCTTCCATGTAATCCTGTAAAAGAAAAATTGAAGCAAGGATGCCTAGTAACATTAGATAAACTTGCAAACAACTAGTATTATGAATAGGAGTTGAATAATGATAAACTTAAATATTTCATATAATGAAGCAGTTTGTACACTAGAAATTTCTTTAACATTACAACCAATGAAGAACTGCTTATATTGTTTATTTAAAGTTTCAAGGCATAGTTTCAGTCCAAAATAGTAAGACTTTGATGCATCTATCAAGGCAGTTCTCAAAATATAAAGACCAAAGCAAAATAACTTTTAAGTGCTTTATCACTATCATAATCATTCAATTGCATTCATATGGATTAGAGGAAATGAGACAGCCTTTGAGCACTCCCTCTCAATTAAAGGACAATGCACCCTTCTTTTGGTAAACTTTACTCAGAAAACATAAGAACAACATATGTAATAGTTTAGACAACATAAGACAAACATACTTAATAGTTTATACCGAGACATACATCACTAGATGTTACAGCGTTAAAAGGGTCAGCTCTTGTTTGAATTTTTTATTTTTTATTTTTTTTATTTTTTGGCGTTTTGCAGGCTCATTCAGTTTATTGCTGTTTCCTCTAGAGGACAGGCTTCGTGATATGAGAAAACCTGGTCACTTTATCTGTGCCCTGTCCAGGCATTTCATCCCTCACAATGAACTGAAGTCACTTGCTAAGGTTGAGATGCTTTGGCCGTTGACTGCTCTGAATCGCAGCATTGATAGTAGGGGTTTGATTTTGGCAATACTTATACAAACTTCAAATTTTCTGCAAACCTAAACTTCTTTTTCATTTCAAGAAATTCCCAAGATGGTTCCTTTATCCGTAAATTTAATTTCTTGGCAGGTACTATCTATAACTTCAACCATCCTACACCAAATTAAATTCTTGCAATACAATAAAGTACACCTTTTGGAACCTCATTTTCAGTTCCAACCATAATAGGTAATTCCATTCAATAAAACTTCAACTAAAAAGCAAAGACACAGACACAAAGACACCAGATTTTCTAAAAGAAATGTAGGACATGACATGGGCAGGACACATGCAAAACATATAGTTTAATATATTTATTTATATGTCATATATAAGGAGAAGCACTTCTTATGTCATGTATATGAATATATTCATAGACAATAACCAAATACAATGTAACACTAATTTTTAAAGTCCAAAGGAGGAGAATAATAGATACAAACTTACATTAGTTTTCTTTTATCATTGGATTCCGAGATTGTTTATTCAAACTTGTAACATGTATGTCTAAGCAATAGACACAGGTTTCCCAAGTGTCTAAAACATGTCCAAGTCATGAGTGTCGTGTCAACACGACACCTCTTTAGAAGTGTTCATGCTCCTTAGAACTTTGACAATACATTAAGAACTCCAGAAGTGAATATTAGTTGTTGGGATTATAAGCAAATTTAAGGCCACAGACTTTCACAAACTGAGATGAATTTTGCAATCAAGAGTTGCAGTTTTTATCTCTCATGCTGCTCAAGAAAACTGAGAGTACACCATACCAACATATTTTGACATGACAACAGTTTAATTAGGTCAAGGATGCAATTGCATAGCTCCAAGACCCACCACCAAATCATGATTTTATAAGTACAAGCAGAAATCATTTATCTTCCAACTAGGAATTTCAATTGTCTAATTTAAACAATAGACAAGTTGTGACATCAGCACCAACTGCAATATTATTAGGGCCAAGATTGTGTGTAAAAGACATTTATACCCATGAACATCCAAAATATACTCGTAAATTCAAAGGAAAAGGCAACAAGATTTGAGACTACATGAACTCTCAAGAGTTAAAGAAAAAGGGGTGACCCCAGCCTTTGCAGGAAAGAAAAACTAATAAATAAGAAGTAAGAACAGATTCCATGGGTTTCAGTGTGTGTTACTGCAACAGAAGTTCCCATTTATTGCATACTTTAAGTGGTATATCGTGCTCACGAATAAAGCTTCTGGTGCAAGAGCACCATTTTTGTATCATGCTTTAGTCACTCCTATTCTACCTGCCAATGTTGCACTTATCTAAAGCTAGCGGTCCGCACACACGTTGCATGTGCAACTTGAAAAAAATAACATTATAAGAATAATGACAAAGAAATATGCCCATATAGTGTGTGTTGCTAAAATGGTAAGAGCCCTCATTATTAAATCCCCCATGGTCATGGGTTCCAAACCCCTCCTCCTCTGTCCGTAATTTTTACAAAAACACATAGTAAAAGGATGTTTCGGGAAAACCCAAAATATGAGACACAAAATGCCAACACCACCAGAGGCCTTCACATATATAATAGAATAGATTAAACTTTCTGTGACACACAGAGGCAGGGGTCATGAAACAGAGGTCCTAATGTAAAGAATATCCTAAAGCCCTTTTCTGCTTAAACAAGAAAAATATCGCTTACCCCGCAAAGAAATAGAATCCGTTTATCAGAACCAGTTATGGTGCCTCCTAGTGCCTTCACAAAAAGCTGGATGTATTCAGGATGCCCATCATAAGTAACCCCGGTTATGATATTACCATCAACATTGCAAGCCAAAAAGGTCTCTGGTTCCACCCAATGAGCTCCTGCAGCAATGAGTACAGGTTTCACAGAAGGATATGCCGTGCACTTCCGACCTTTAACTGACCCTGCAGCTGCCAAGATCAGTTGCCCATGGCAAATAGATGCAATTGGCTTTCCGAAGTTGGAAAACTTTTTCACTAAGTCTAAAACAGAATCATTCATGGCAAGATATTCCGGAGCCCGTCCTCCGGGAAGTACCAACCCATCATATTTGCTCACTTCAATCTCATCAAATGTTGCATTAAGAGTGAAGTTGTGACCCCTTGACTCAGAATATGTCTGCAACAATTAAAAATAAGTGAGTATGCCTAGGAATAGCTAAAAGGAGGAGATGAAAGCATCTTATTAGGCTGTTAGGTTAATTAAACTTACTCCTACTTCATGTTCATTGACCAGCAGAGCTGCAGAAGTAAATGGAAAAAGTGATTTTACCCATCTGTTATCCCACAAATGCTCTTTAAAGACACAGCTCCACTTGGTCAATATGCACGATCATCAAATATAACCCACCAGGAATACATGATACATAAATGGTAATAACTGGCCTACTACATACTAGAGGTTTTCTGTGTAGAATTCATTCTCTCCTAGTTTGAATTGGACAAGAAACCTAACAGTTACTACAAACAACAGGAAATAGAAAGAACAACTAACACTGATTTTAACATGTGTGACTCATGACGTTAGAGGGGAATCTAGACCATCCTTGCCACAGTTTTGGTGTCTATTTGGAGCAGAAAAAAGATGTTTCGATATCGCTCCCATGAATGTAGGGATGAGAAAGTTTAACTACTTTCATAAAATTGCAGAACAAACATTCATCCCAGAACTAAACAAAAAAAGAAAAAGAAAAAAAGTACTCAATCTCAAAGATGATGGAGGTAATTCCAAAAAAACATTTGCCACAACAAATCCCACTTTGACTGTGATTATGGAGAGAAATAAATAAATAAAAATTAAAATTAGAAGAGTAATTCCAATCTAAATCAATTTTCCAGTTTTAATCATAAAACTCATCAGATTCAATATTATTATCTAATCCTTGTTTGCAGCTTGTATATCAAAATCTCGCACACCAAACAGGTTCTCTTACACCTTTTTTAAAAACTTCACGCATGCATCTAATAGTATCCTTGATGTAGCTAGGATTTTAGGTCAGTAGGGTCATTAACAACTATCATCAGTATCATTATGTCAATATATCTTCTACACAACCTATATCAAAATCAAATTTTATTCTATAATTTTAAATATTTTCAATCATATCGACAAAATAATTCAAATTTAATAAATTACATATAAAACAAAAGTTGAGAAATTAATACTTCAACAAAATCAAGCAAAGATCTAGATTAACATAACTGTTCACAAGTTTTCATTTTTTTAAAATTGCTATACAATAACCTTATTACTTATGCTATCAAATATATATATATTTTTTATATATGGCCAAATAATCATTGATTCAATCTTCACTTTGAATAAATTAAAAAATTATCACTTTGCATTAAGCAAAAGATATTTTCACATTAGTAGTTGTAATTGGTAGAATTGATGAGCATGACAATTGTAGTTGTTATTTTCACTACAATTATTTATAAATTTTATCCAAATATTGTATTCTAATGTGAATTAAGAATCATATATGTGTAATTTTAAACACTAAAAACAAATTTTTAGAGTGTATTTATAACAAAGTTAAAAAGGAATAACAATTCTCCCTTTTTTCTCTGGGTTCAATTTGTAAAATCTCTCAAATACTTTGGATAAATTTCATATTTATTTTAAAAAATTTCATAGTTGAGTGGTGTCAAGTGACACCACTCAATATACACCGCCAGTGCTAACCTCACCATAAAAAATGATACACGAGTCTGTCACTTAGTGATAAAAATTAAGAATGAGTGAATCTATGGCACACGCCTCTAAAGTGAAAGTTATAAACATTGTGCTGTGAATGGCGCAGTAAAAATGTTACAAATCATTAACGGCAAGAAATGTTAGAAACCATTTTAATGAGAAAAATTACAACTTCTTATGGTGTTTATTACAGAACATTATGATTATATTGTGTACATTGTGATTTTTCAAATTCAAGAAAAAAACCTCTCTCTCTCTCTAAAAACCTCCACCCCTGACCTCACTTTTGGCTGGCCGGCCGCTGCCTTTGGCTATGGCGGTCGGCTGGTCCAGCTTCCTCTTCTGTTTATGTGTTGTTTTTTTCCATATAATAACTTGATTCCCACAATGTTTTCCCACTTAGATGTGTTTCGGTGCTGCTGGTCCAGCTCCCTTTGGAGCTGTTTGTTTTGTTTTCACCAGGGGGTGCTTGGTATAGGGGTCTATCAGAGTAGATGGTGGTCGGTTTTGGACCGGAATAAAGGTTGATCTAATCTGGGTAGGAGTTTCATTCGGGCGCTCCTGTGCGAGTGGGAGTTTGAGGGATGAAAGGTTGTTCTAATCTGGTTAGGAGTTTCATTCGGGCGCTCCTGTGCGAGTGGGAGTTTGAGGGATGAATGTTGGTTCGGATCTATGGAGATGCTTCGATCCAGATCTAAGATCTAAGAGTTCAGATCTAGATCCAAATCTTCGATCCAGATCTAAGATTCCATTCGAGCGCTCCTTTTCGAGTTGGTGTTTGAGGGGTGTACTTCATCCAGTGGTATCCAGTGGGTGTGTTCGGAGTTTGGTTCGGAACAGAGGTGTCCGACCATGGATTTGGAGTTGGCAGTGGTTCTGTTTCGCCATTGGGTGTGTTCGTGTTCGGATGTGTGTCGAAGATGATCCAGGTCGGCATTGGGTGTGTTCGACCATAGGAGTGGAGAAGTGGAGTCGGCAGTGGGTATTGGCGTGTAAGTGGGTCTCGGCGTTGGGTGTGTTCCGATGCATTGAGTGCTCGGTAGGTGTTCAGATGGGAGGCGTGGTTGGTAGCAGCAGGTTGGTTAGCAGGGGAGCTGCCGTGAGTGTGAGAAAGAAGAAGATCTTGGGGTTTGGATCTGCAGTGGGTGTTGGTTCTGCAGTGGGTATGGGTGGCTCGACTGGCAGTGTGAGTTAAAAGAGGTTGCTAGCATGGAGTTAAAAGATGGTTTCATAGGTTAGAAGGTTGGTGTACCGGGGTAGAGACGGAGCATTGTGGAGGATGATGATGGCGGCAGGAGCAAGGTGGTAGGTGAGTCCGCTAGGGGCAACAGCAGAGTGGAAGTAGGGACTGTTGACGGTGAGTCAGGAGAGGTAGGGGCTGATGATGGTGAGTCAGCAGAGGTGTGGGCTTTGGGTGTGCGGCAGGCGTGAGTTTTGGCTGTGGTGGCGTGCGTGGATCTTGGCAGTGCAGCAGCATGGGAGTGCAGCAACATTGGGAGTTGGTTTGTTTAGTTTGGCTGTTTTGGAGTTGGTGTTTGGGTTCGGGTTGTGTGGGTTGATGTTGTGGGGAGTCTTTATTTTATTTTTATTTTTTTGTTTTATAGTTAAGTTCTTCTTAACTTTTTTGTTTGAAAAAAAAAAAAAAAATTCGTGAGGCCAAGGGGTTGGTTGTATGGATGCGAGTAGCAGTAGTAGGGGTATTCTGTACTTTCCGAATCTCTCTCGATGCATGTCATTTGCCTGTACCTTTAATTTCATGCTGTTAATGAAATTTTTCTTTGCTGATCAAAAAAAAATATTGTGTACATTGTGATTGAGTGCATATAGTGTATCCTTTTTAAAAAAGATGTGTACCGTAGTAGCTCCCATGGTTTTTAGATTCTTGTTTTGCAGATAAGAATATGATATGAAATAAAAGTAACAGTTTATCAATTTAATTAGTCTAATATATATGCAGAAAATGTTTGAGATTCCTATAAAATTACCCCCCAATTTGACACGCGTATCAACTTTTGATGCAAACAAACTCAATAATATAAGACTCAATTCCCCTGTCACATCATTGTAGGTGAATTATGTGATTCAAATTGTGGGTCTCTAGCATCCGACAATCAAACATACTCTATAAGTGTGTCCTATAAATATATGAGAGTTGTCGAGACAATGAAATTAACAGTGTAGAACTGTTAACTCAACCTATACACATGTCCGCTATGTAAGTACTCAATTGACAACATAAATATGGTGACTAATCAAAATAGTAACAAATTGTGAGAAATAAATCAATGAAATCCATAGAACTTTGTAAAAGTGACATTAATTGACTATTATATATATATATATATATACCTGATGAGGAGAGGCCTGATGAATAGCAGTGCGGCAGATGTCTCCGGATTTCTTACCGGGGCAAACTGCATCAACCGACACTCCGTATGCTTGCAATGCTTGAAACGGAACCATCACCTGAAATCCATTATATCATTTTTTAATGATCAAACAAAAAACAAAAAAAACAGGCATGAATGAACAAGTGTGTATTGTGGAGAAAAAGACCTCGTAATCTTCCATGTAATCGCCACATAGTATGAGGACGCTTCTCTTGGAAGAATTCGCCATCGCTATTTTGCTATCTTGGTCCCTGAAGAAGCGAGACACAGAGAGAGCGAGTGAGAGAGAGAGAGAGAAGGACAGTGTGTGTTGACTGTGTGTGGTGGAGTTTTTGAGAAACCGGTCCAGATTAATATACGGGATAATTATATATATTTATATTTATTTTAATTTTTTTTAATATATAAATTATGTTTTTTAAATTTTTTTATAAAAATAATTTAATAATTTTATCACTAATAATAGGGTATATAAGAAATTAAAAAGGTTACTGTAGTAATTATGCATGGATTGTATGTATAATTATTTGTATGAGAATATTTTAAATGCTAATAAAAGATTGTGACCAAATCAATAAATGCAGGCATGTGGATTGGGAAAAGTTAATAAATGTTGATGATTTTGACCAAATCAATAAATGCTGAGGATTTTTTTTTAAATCAAAAATTTAGAGAATTAAGATTGAGAGATTGGAGCTCCCACAAGGCTTAGGGTTTAGACTTTTTAAGTGTCTTTTTTTTTTAATGTCTTTTTTTTTCTTTTTTATATTATATTAAAGTTTAATATTTTAATAATAATTATATGTGTTGAATTTTTTAAGAAATTAAATGTCTTCTTTTTTTATTATATTATATTAAAATTTAATATTTTGATAATAATCATATGTGTTGGACTTTTCAAGAAAATTTTTTTATGCTTGTTCTTAATGCGTTAAAGTATTATTATGAGGGATAATAATTATATGTGTTGAGACTTTTCAATGAATTCATGTGTTGGATTTCAAAGAATTTTTTTTTATGCTTGTTTTTAATGCATTAAAGTGTTATTATGAGGGTAAGACTTGGGGGTTTGGAGAAATTAATAAATGTTAAGTTTTTTTTTTTTAAATCAAAAAATCAAGAAATTTAGATTAGGAGATTGGAACTCCCACAAGACTTGGGTTTAAAAACTCCCTTTTACGTAATATATAACTAGCCCATCACCTGCACGGGATAATTATAAATATTTATATTTGTTTTAGATTTTTTTTTAATATATAAATTATGTTTTTTTAAGATTTTTTATAAAAATAATTTAACAATCTTATCACTAATCATAGTGTATGAGAGAAGTTGAAAAAGGTGCAATAGTAATTATACACATATTGTATCTATAATTATTTGTATGAGAGGATTTTAAATGCTGATCAAGGGATTTTGACCAAATCAATAAATGCAGACACGTGGAAAGACATGTGGATTGAAAAAAGTTAATAAATGTTGATCAGGGAATTTTGACCAAATCAATAAATGCTGAATTTTTTTTTTTAATAAAAAATTTAGAAATTCAAATTGAGATTATTTAGAGCCATTGAACAAAGTACAATCACTTACAATTTTTTTTTTTCAAAAAACATAGTGAGTTAAAAAAATCAATTACAATTTTTTTTTTCAAAATGCAATCTAATCATTATCAATAATTGGTACTTTAAAAACCAAATCAGAAAAAAATCAAATCAAATCAAATCACAAATATTTTTATGCTATCTAACTACAATCATTTTTTTTTTCATAAATAATTATAAAAAAAACATTAAAACAGTAAATAAAAGATTAAATCATATTAAAAAAAAAACATTGAACAAACTACAATCGCATCACATTTTTCTCATAATAAAATAAATAAATAAATAAATAAAAGAACCATTGACTAACTGCAATCACATTAAAAAAAAAAAACATTGAATAAACTACAGTCACATTTTTTTTCTTTGTGAGTGTTTATGTTTATCTAATTTCAATCATATTAAAAATAAAATTAAAATAGTAAATAAAAAGATTAAATAACATTAAAAAAACCATTGAACTAACTACAACAATCATATTAAAAAAAAGAGCCATTGAACAAACTACAATCACATCACATTTTTCCCATAATAAAATAAATAAATGAAAAAAAAAGAACTATTAAACTAACTACAATCACATTAAAAAAAAAAGAATCATTCAACTAATTATAATTACATTTTTCTCTTTGTGAAGATTTATATTTATCTAACTTCAATCATATTAAAAAATCAAATTATAATTTTTTATTCCCTAGACAAATCACAAATATTTTTATACGCTATCTAACTACAATATTAAAACAGTAAACAAAAGGAAAAGTCAAGAAAGAAAAAACAAAAGAAGACTTACTGTTTGCATACGTGGTTACTGAAGTTGAAAGTGTAGAAGTGAGAAGTCAAGAAAGAGAAAACAAAAAGGAGACTCACTATTTGCAATAGGTATGTGAAAAGTTAAAAAGAGTATGTATATTGGAAAAATTAAAAAGACTTGGAAGAATTTAATAAATGCTAAGTTTTTTTTTTCAAAAAAATCAAAAAAAATTAAGAAATTAAGGTTTAGATATTGAAACTCCTACAAAACTTGTGGGTTAGAGATAGATATAAATAAATAGAAGATAGAGATAGAGATATTTATATTTGTTTTAAATTTTTTTTAATATACAAATTATTTGTTTTGGAAAATGTGCTGCAATAATTATGAGAGAAGTAAAAAAATCTTGTGGGTTGAGAGGACTGTGTTACAATTATCTATATATGTGAATTGTGATTTTTAAATGTTTTTTTTTAAATGTCTTCTTTTTTTCCTTTTTTATACTATATTAAAGTTTAATATTTTGATAATAATCATATGTGTTGGACTTTTCAAAGAATTAAATGTCTTTTTTTGTATTATATTATATTAAAATTTAATATTTTGATAATAATCATATGTGTTGGATTTTTCAAAAAAAATTATATTAAAGTGTTATTACGAGGGATAATAATCATATGTGTTGGGACTTTTCAAGGAATTCATATGTGTTGGATTTCAAAGAATTTTTTTTTATACTTGTTTTTAATGCATTAAAGTGTTATTAATAGTAGATTGGACATTGGGAGAAGTTAATAAATGCTAAGATTTTTTTTTTAAAATCAAAAAATCAAGAATTTAGATTGGGAGATTGGAGCTCCCACAAGGCTTGGGTTAAAAACCCCTTTTGCTTAATATATAGTATAGACTAGCATATCACCGTGCTATGCAGGGTTTGTGTTTACCACTTTGTCTTTTTTTTTTTTTTTTTTATATACTAAATTAAAATTTTATATTGTGTGATGTCACTGTAATTACATATAATATTGTAGTTGGATTTTTCAAGGAATTTTTTTCATGCTTATTCTTAATGTATTAAAATGTTATTATGAGGGATAATAATCATGTGTTGGATTTTTCAAGAAATTTATATGTACTTCACAATTATTTTTATATGTGTGAATTGTGATTTTTAAATGTCATTTTTTTTATATTATATTAAAGTGTAACATTTTGATAATAATCATATGTGTTGGACTTTCAAGAAATTCATATGTGTTGGACTTTTCAAGGAATTTTTTTTTATGATTGTTCTTAATGTATTAAAGTGTTATTATGAGGGATAATAATCGTGTGTGTTGGGACTTTTCAAGGAATTTATATGTGTTGGACTTTTTAAAGAATTTTTTTTATACTTGGGGGTTGGGAGAAGTTAATAAATGCTAAGTTTTTTTTTTTTAAATAAAAAATCAGAAAATTTAGATTGGGATATTGGAGCTTCCACAAGACTTGGAGGGTTAGAAACCCCCTTTTTCTTAATATATATAGATAGATAGATAGATATATCTTTTTATTTTTGTGTGGTTTCTATTCGGGTATTTTTTTTCCAATTTATTTAAGATGGAGTTGTGGGTATCTTTTTTTTTAAATTTAATTTATTTGCGGTTTCCATTTGTTTTTAATTATTATTATTTAAGTAAGCTATGATGTGAGTTAGATATGTAATAGACATGTGAGTTTTATTGATTTAAAGCTTATTTAGATAAACTTTAAAAAAAAAATTAGTTTTTTTGTTTTTTTGTTATGTTATAATAGAATATATAAAATATAGGTAGATATCTACAACTTTAATAAAAAATATTATCTGATTTTTTGGGAAAGAGAAAAAGAATGCAAGTTTTAATATTTTTTTTTGAAAATTTGTGAGACAGATTAGGAGGGAGAGATTATGAAATATTTTTGTTATTAAATAAATAAATCAGTCAATAGTTTTTTTAATCTATTTTGTAAATTAAAAATCAATAATTTTGAAAAATTGATTAATTTTTCCCATTAAGTGATTTAAAAATTTGATAGATATACATAAAAAAAAATACATAATTATATTATTGAATCATAATTCAAATTTAGATGTTATATCTTTTTGAGATTTATAGCTAAATTCTTATCTTTTTTTATTTTATTTTTGTGTGTAACCATAGTGTATGGGAAAAATTGAAAAGAGTGCTGCAATAATTATGATAGAAGTCAAAAGGGATTGTGGGTTGGGAGATGTCAATAAATGCTGAGGTTGGGTTGAGAGAAGTCAATAAATGCTGAGGTTTTTTTTTTTTAAAATCAAAAAATTAGAAAATTAGGATTAGGAGATTGGAGCTCCCACAGGCCTTAGGGTTAAAAACCCCCTTTTGCTTAATATATAGTATAGACTAGCATATCACCCGCGCTATGCACGAGATTAAATTTAAAAAAAAAAAAAACATTCATAGTTATGTCAAACATATTTTTAAATTGTTAACATAAAATATATGTAATTTTAAAAGAAAATATTGACATTGCATAATTAAAGTAATTGAAATAAGAATTTATTACATTTGTTTGAAATTCACTGAATAAGTTTAAAAAAAAAAAGAACCATTGAACTAACTATAGCGATCCCGGATTTACCCTTGTTGAACAGTGATCCGGACATGTGTCCGTGGATGTTAGTAGTTGGTTATTATTTTGTTTACATCCTTTTTACTTCGTAGTTGAGTTATGGGATGTGTTGGGCAAGTTTGTTACAGGTTGGTTGAGTTTAGAAACCAAAACTAGTTGCCTAGATTTTGACCTGTCCGCTCGAGCGGGGGTTTTGGCGCTCGAGCGGGAATTGCACCTATCCAGTATTTTCTGTGCAGTGTTGCACGCTCAAGCGTGGAATTGGCCGCTCGAGCGGGGTTGTGTGAGTGCCGCTCGAGCGGGAAGTTGGAAGCTCGAGCGTAGACCTGGTTCTATAAAAGTTCT